CGGATAGGCGAACGTAAATAAGTACGGGAGTCAACGAGACGAGTAGAGTAGTGTCCCCTCAATTAGACTAGAAGTCGACCTCCTTCACGAGTAGGTTAGTGCCCCTTCTGTATATTTCTTTGTTATTAATGTTATTGAGCATGCACTATTAATGCGGGAAGTAACCTACGGGCCTTCTTTGTTTCTCATTCATTCTCATCGGGTCACGGGTCATCGTGTGTGTGTTGCGGGTGGCCTTTGTGATGAATGAACGCAGGAGCTAAAACTATATTTCTTTGATCATGGACGCGTTGTGCTTTCAAGTGATGGTTGCGTTTTTAAAACCAACCAGTTCTAAGGCAAAACGTCGCAAACAAACCTTCTGTGCCAAGTATTCAGAGGAATTCAACTTCATCACTGCATTGATATTATCAAACAAACATGCTTTCTGCAAGGTGTGGCAACGTCCTCAATGGTCCGTCAAGTGGTGTTAACTTAGGAGAACTTGTATTGACAGAATTAGAAACCTTAGGTGTTCCCTTTAAGCACTGCATCTCTCTGAGTTGAGACAACGCTCCAGTGATGATAGGCCAAAACAATGGAGTTATAACAAAGCTTAGGGAGTCCCAGCCAGACATCTTTGCCATTGGATGCCCCTGCCATCTTATTAATCTGGCTGCACAATATGCTTGTGTCTGTGGTGTGCTGATATTTTGAGTAGAAGTTGTCTTTTAGTATCTTTTTGAAGTAAGAAGTGTTCTTTTCCGCCGACTGCGCGGTGAAAATCTGGGGGGGTTTTAATTTTGAAAACTTGCCAGCTATACACACATGTTTGCTCTCTCTCACACACACACACACACACACACATACACACACACACACCCACACTCATGTATACAGTACACACACATACTCACTCTTGAACTCGGAGTTGAGTGATAAAAGATAGCCTATGTACGAAGATCAATGTTGCTTCCTCTTTCACTCCATGTTTTCAATCAAATAAGATAGAAACTGACATATTTCACTCCCCCCTCCCCCCATGCCTTTCTCCAGCCCTTCAGGCAAAGGTATCCTGTCAGGTCACGCAGATGGCTCAATCATCCGCTATTTCTTCGACGACGAGGGCTCGGGCGACACACAGGTATGGAAGACCACCTCAACCCCCAACCCAGGAGAAAGTTTTTGCCATCGTTTATAATGATCTGAGAATTTGTTTAAGAAAAGCTTTACCCAATACAATTTTTTAAAGTTAGATTTTGTATGCTTTATAATGTTACAGTAAACCGACGCTCTTCGAGTATATTTGGTTTTATATGCATGAACATGAACATATTTGTTCTCGTGCTTACATCTGCAAGTACCTTAATTTCTTTTTGTCCCCTGTTCTCTCCTGTCCAGGGAAAGATTTCCACCCACCCATCACCCCCCTACGCACTGGCATTCTCTCAGAACGCCATTGTAGCAGCAGGTTGTGATAAACGCATCATCGCGTACGGCCGAGACGGGAGGAGCTTCCAGCACTTTGATTACAGTCGGGAGGATGACGAGCATGAGATCACAGTGGCCGTCTGCTCTCCCAGTGGACAGAATGTGGTGCTCGGCAGTTTTGACAAGTGAGAACGAAATACAGTGCCTACTCGCTACCTTAGAATTACAAAGTTCTATCTGACATTTTTGGCCGCTTTGAATTACTAAGGTCATCAGGTCAGAAACCATAATATGTTCTATCTGCTTTATCAAAATCATTAGATTATTCGGAGTCATTATCGAGATACTCCAAGAATTGCATTCGATAAAGCTCGCCATGAAAGTCACAATTTTTTTCATCCAATATCTCAACACTAGGTACTGAGCAGATAGAACCTTATAATTCTAAGGGAGCGCACTGTCTGAATGTGTCATTGCCTTTTGTGCTTACGGTTAGGTCAAATGTCTGATGCTGTCTGCGGTGTGACATTCCTTTGTGTTGAGTCAAGTGTCTTCTTCTGTCTGCAGTCTGAATGTGTCTTCACTCTTTCTTTAGGTCCCTAATTGGGCAAGAACTCGATGGGTAAAGGGAAGAAATAGATTTTGAATCTGAGTTTTGCATTAAGGATTCTACAAAGGAGGCAAGAGAAATAAAAGAATCTTGGATACTTGCAGCTACCTTAGAAGTGTGTGTGTGAATCAGATTCTGTTTGAGGCCCTCTCAGTCTTCTATATCCCTTTATACTGTTCCATTTTTCACTTTCACTACATTCTCTCTTTCTATTCCATTTTTTACTGTGACTTCCTGTCCTTTGTCTTGTCTGCAAGATGCACTCTGACTCAGCAGCAGGCGTGAAGTGTATAATGAGCATCTGATGTGTTGCCCAAAAAAGGAGCAAAACAGACTAATTAATCTCTACAGTTACAGCCCTAGTAGTTCGACCTTCCTCTTCCCATTCATTTTGATTTTTCTTCGGTTTGCAGGTTGCGGGTTTTGAACTGGAGCCCCCGACGTCAGATGTGGGAGGAGCCTAAACTGAAGGAGATCCACAACCTGTACACGGTCACTGCATTGGCGTGGAAAAAAGATGGCTCCCGGGTTATTGCGGTATGTACAAGAGGAGACGTCGGAATGTGACACTTAGACTGTGTTTATCTCTAACATTGAAGTTAACAACTCTTGTGGGTGCAAGGATCTGGGGAACTGTTTTGGTCTGAAAAGAAATTTTTCTTCTATTTGTGTTCATCAGATTTGCATAGTATCCCAACTCCATTTCACATAGCTGATTATGTTTTCTTAGCTTTTTTAAATGCTAAACTTTAGTTTGACTTTCACTGATCTTGTTTTGGTGTGTATTGTCAGCCTCAGCTGGTACTTGTCAACTTGTTGTTGAGCCACACTCTGTTTGTCTGTCTGTCCGTCCGTCCGTCCGTCCGTCTGTCTGTCCGTCCGTCCGTCCATCCGTCTGTCTGTCTGTCTGTCTGTATGTCTGTCTGTCCGTCCGTCTGTCTGTCTGTCTGTCAACTGCAGGGTACTCTATGAGGAGGTCGTGACATTTTGACCAATGAATTTTGTGTGTGTGTGTATGTGTGTGACCTATGTAGATATCAACTTTTCTTCTATCTCCCCCAGGGTACGCTGTGCGGAGGTCTGGAGATGTTTGACTGTTGCCTCAAGAGGACGCTGTACAAGAACAAGTTTGAGATCACCCACGTGGGAGTCAGTCAGGTCTGGGCTCATACTCAAGATAAGATAAGATAAGATAAGATACATCTTTATTGTCCAGATCCTGGCACATTGGTTTTGTGTTCCACCACAAAAAAAGAAAAAAAAGTAAAAGCTAAAGGATTTCTCAGGCTTTTTTCTTTCTTTCTTCCATGTTGACGAGTCTCTTTTTAAACAAGGGTTGATTTGGTCTTTTTAAGAATTATTTCATGTAGGTGCTTGGAGAGCATCCTTTGTTGGTCCTACTTCTTTTCTTTGCCTTTTTGGTTTCTCTCTATCTTTTTTATTCTTTCCCAGCTCAAAATGACCATTATTTTATTGATATACTTCTTTTTACTAAATTATTGTTGCTTTTTTATCTGGCTATGTGTTTTCATATTTTCAGTCACTCGATTCCTCTTTTCTGTGTCTAGTAGTTCAACCTGACTATGTTCTTTTTTCATTTTACATTGGTAAGCCTTGGCCTTAATCTCTCCTGTCTTTGACAAGCTTACCTCAGCTTTGCCCTTTCTTGTCGTTGACCGGATTATCTTGACCTTGCTCCCTCCCATCTTGTTTTCTCTTATCATTGGGGGGGGGACTCAGCATTGCACTTTCCCTTCTTTATCTGAGCGGCTCTGATGTCTGTGTTGACTCTTGTGATGTTCCCTCCCTTCTGTCAGGCCATTGTGAAGAACCTGTCTAACAACACCAAGGTGATGCTCAAGTCCCACTACGGCTACGAGATCGACGAGGTTCGCATCATGGGCCGGGACCGCTACCTCGTGGCTCACACCTCGGACACCCTGCTCCTCGGGGACATGCTCTCCTCCAGGCTGAGTGAGGTCCCGTGGCAGGGCTCCGGTACTGAGAAGTACTACTTTGACAACGAGAATGTGAGTCATACTGTCTTATCATCATAAATATTCACAGTGTATAAGCTATTCTGTTTTCTGTATATAGATATGTTCTAGTGTATAGAAATCATTTTACTAATAAAAATGGAATTAATTTATTACTAATAATGAAGTGTTGGAAAGAGCTGGAATAGAAGATATCAACACAAGCATTGAACGAAGAAGATGGAGATATCTAGGACGTGTTCAAAGAAAGCCAAAGACAAGATTGCCCTATCAGACATGGTGTCGGAAACCATTTGGAAGAAGAAAATGAGGAGGACCAACTGGAAGCTATAGAGGCACAATGAGAGATGAGGCAATCACCCAACGGCCTGGATTTGCCGAAATTGGAGGACGTGGCCAGGGACAGACAAACGTGGCTTCGAGTGCTCTCTGCCTTATGTACCTAACGGTATAGGGTGAGAGTAAGCAAGTATAGAAACCACTTTGTTCTACAGTATTATTTTGATGATGTGGATCTTGCTGCTCTTCTACATCAGCCGATAGTCACCTCAAAGCTTTTACTACATTTCTTTTTTCCTGTTTTACAGCAGCTTATTCAATGAATTTACACACTATAAGGAACATTGTTTCTCTACTGAAAATTGTTTATTTGAAAAAATTCTCTGTTCCCTTTTCCCATGCTAAATGAAGCATTGTTTTTCCCCCTCCCCTCTCTCCCCTATCCCCTAGGTGTGCATGATCTTCAATGCTGGGGAGTTGGCGCTCATCGAGTACGGCGCTAATGAGGTGCTGGGCTGCGTGAGGACAGAGTTCATGAACCCACATCTCATCAGGTGAGCACTGCTGGAGTTTTCGGTTTCTGCTTTGATCCTGCCAGCACCACGAATGCGTCAGTTATTTTATGTGGCACATACTGTTTGGAATATCTGATGGCGTTTTTTTTTCTTTGCTGGTTGGCCTCTGATCCTTTTTTCCTAATATACTTTATAAACAGTGTTTATGTAACTGGGTTTTTTTTGTTTATGTACTCTATACACCTAATCCACTAGTCAAGCTCTGTAATCAAAGTCTGTAGTTGTAGTAGTACAGGGTTTTACGGCGCTCGCAACTGCGTAAGGTCATATGAGCGCACGAAACACAAGTTGGTAGCATTCACCACAGTTCACTGCACGGTTGGTCGACAATTAGACTTTAAAATGCTAAAATACTAAAATTCAGTGTAAATATATTTGCAATTTAAAACAACTCTTATAAATAACAATAAAAATGTTTTAACAATATTGTTTCACTTTACAATTTGCCATAAAGGCCAATCAAAGTCTGCCTTAAACAAAAACTATTATATTGTCTGTCTGCTGTGTTTTCTCCAGTGTGCGTCTGAATGAACGTAAACAGAAAGGAGTTCAGGACAACAAGAAGATGGCTTACCTCATCGACCTGAAGACTGTGGCCATGAGTGAGTTGCCTCTTTTAGTGCAAAAAGGGCGGACGATTTGAGACTTTCGTCTTTTTTCTTTGTTTGACATTTTTAGCATTTGGACTTGTTAACCCTTTAATCTTTTGAATTGTTAGGTTGTGTATTTTTATTTGTTCTAAAGCTGTACTGATAATGGAATGTGTTGTCTGGAATAACAGAAGGTGGAAAAATCCCTTTGCATCTTTCATTGTGATGTTTGAATCAATAATTAGTGCAGTTATTCACATGAAGTGGGTTTTTTCTGTGTCTCCTCAGTCGATTTACTCTCAGGTCAGAACATTGCTCAAGTCAGTCATGACAACAGGATAGACTGGCTGGAGGTGAGTCATGCAAGGCCTGTCTGTCTGTCTATGTGTTTGTTTGTGTGTGTGTCTGTCTGTTATTTTGTGAATGAGTGTATGCCTGTGTTTTTTAGTGGATTTGGGTATATATGAACTTGATTTTATGTACTTTTTCCTGTGTACAGTAATAGGATAGATGGTAGAAATAGATATATATCTAAATTTTACTTTCTTTAGATAACTCTAGAGTTTGTGGATGATTATATGTAATGCCCATTGTCTGTGATTTCTTGTAGAAAAACTGGAAGAGCGATGTTGTATTTTTCTGTCCTCTACCTTGTGAAGTGCAGTAGTTAAATTCTTTGCTATTACATGCAAAACATATGAGTTCAATTCTGGAGTCTTTCTAGTGAAATGTTGTATCCCACTCAGCCTGGGTTTGCCTTGACAGAAAAAGTAAAAGCAGCCTACTTCCTATATGATTTAAATTGTCAATGGAGGCTAAAAACATTTCCCTTTATCTGGTTCTGTCCCCAGCTCAATGAGACAGGACACAAGCTGCTGTTCAGAGACAACAAACTCAAGGTCAGTCGGTGCACACCTCGGTGCTGTGTTATGCAATTAAAACCATGTTACATTCCTGAGGACTATGGTTGGGGTGGGAGAGATTGTCATTGCCAGGATAAGAGATAGGTTTAGATTTTAAGTAATGGTTGTTGACTGAGATTAAGGTTAGTTTCGTGGTTAGGGATGAAGATTAAGAGTGTGGTTGGGAGTTATAGTTGATCTATTACGGGTGAGAACGTTATGAGAAAAAGTGTGGCTGTTGGGCAGGCTTCTTTGACAGCTGGAACACTTTTGAAATGCAGACATTATTGAATGTTGTCTCTCAACCATACTTTAGCTGAGTTTATAAAACAAAAAACTCTAGAGTGTAGGTGTAGGAAAACAGTTTTTGGTTTCAACACAAAATGATTAAGGTATTTGAAAAGTAAGATGCAGCTTTTTTTTAAATGTATAAAACATGTAGTACATACTTTCATTTACACTTTTTTTTTTTTGGTAGCTGAAAATGCAGAAAATTGATGACATCACAGAGTTATTGTGGATGTACTTGGATATGCCATCAGTATTATGTGTGTATGTCTGTTTCTGACCCACCTATATTGTGTTTGTATGCACTGTCCCTCCCCAGCTGCACCTGTATGACATAGAGAGTCAACAAAAGAGCAGCATACTCAACTACTGCTCCTATGTACAGGTAAGTTAAACACACTACAGTCAGACTATAGTAGGTTCAACTGCAACTAGCTATTACATGTGTGGGTGCTCAGTGTTATGGTTTTGAACATAATCTGTGGCATCAACCTGGTAATGCAGTGGGTCCCTGGATGCTCAAACATTCCTGGAAATGACAGAGCATACACACTTGCCAAATGGGGTCTAGACAGGAACAGCCCAACATTCCAACTTCATACAACATTGCTAAACAAATCATTAAAAACAACAACAAACAAGACTGGATGAACTGATGGGCCTTGGGAAAGACAGGCAGAGCAGATTTCAAACATATGACCACAACAAAACGGAATGATAATATCAACCACCTGCAGAGAAAGAAACAGACCGCGATCTTCCACCTACGAACAGGACATATACAGCTCAACTTCCACTTGAACAGAATAAATCCAGAACTTCCCCTAATGTGTCCCTTGTGTGACAATGCTTATGAGACTGTGGATCATCACCTGTTCCACTGCACACCCCTAAATGACGCCAGAGCTGCCCTTCTCCCTCCGAGACCTAACATTGACGACACACTCTATGTAACATTACAGCAACTGCAGCAAACCTGCACTTATCACTACATGGCTTTTGGCAAAAGGGCAAGAGCCCAGCTGTTGCTGGATCGATAACAACAACAACAACAACATGGTTTTGAACTTGTGTTTGAGAGAGAATGATAGGTTCGATATGGGTCTGTCTCCCCTACTGTAAGTTTTTTTTTCAAACGCAGGACCTGAGAACAGTGCCTATAATGTAAAATTACTTATTCTGATAGGATCTGTTTTTGTATGTTTGTGTATAAGTGTGCATGTCTGTGTGAAGTTTACAGTGCTTTCCACAGTATACAGAATAAAATTAAGTGATTAATCTTTGTGATCTGTGATTTCAGCTGTGATCTGACAAAATACTTTATCTGCAGTGCAAACCTGAGATAGTGCTGTTTTAATAAATAACTTACTAATGTCTGGCCTGTACAAAAAGTATTTGCTGATATTCAAAGCATTTTGTTATTTCTAAAAGTCCTGATAACCGTAAGTCTCCTGTCATTCATGTATCGAAACGCAAACACCAGATGTCCATCTTTTTCAAATGAGTCTGAGTGATATAAAATGTTTTTGCAAAGAGTGGCTGATTGTCCCTATGTCTGTTTGCCTTTTGTCCCCAGTGGGTCCCAGGCAGCGATGTGGTTGTGGCTCAGAACCGCGGCAACTTGTGCGTGTGGTACAACATCGAGGCACCAGAGAGGGTCACTATGGTGTCCATCAAGGTCAGTGCTCGGCAACCTGTGTGTCTCTATGCAGGTCATGTGTCTGAGTGTGTGTGTGTAGGTATTTGTGTGTGTTCTATATTTGTGTGTAAACTCAAGTATTTGTGGTCTTTATTGACTTAAGAATTGTTTAGAAGTCAATTAATTTTTGCGGGTGGTTGGACGGCGCCACTGGTACGTCCTACTGCAAAACTTTCTCTCAGTTATTTTCTGTCAGTCTGTCTTACTTTTCCTAGCACTAAATGACTATTATTATGTCAATGTGCTTCTCTTTACTCAAACAAACAAAACGATTCATTTTTGCCCATTTTCTCAGTTATAGGACATGATTTGAGACATACATTGTGAGGCTTCACACATCTCCTGTGTGCAATAGGTCTACACTTTCGCTAAATATAGTCTACCAGATAGTAAACGTGTGTTTCTCCCTCCAGCCAGTGAAGAGCCTTTAGCCTTTATTTACCATTGCCAGATGGTCACATGTGTTCACAAAGTACACTCACAGCCAGATATTGTGATGAGACTGAAGCCTACAGTGACAGCCATTATGAGACTACTGAGAGTAGAAATATGTGTCATGACGCGGTGGAATCAAACACTCGTCAATTTTTTGCCCCATGAGTTATTGGTATAATTTTAAAGTTTGTTTATCATTTGGAATAAAAATAGTTTCTTCGATTTCATTATTTTGACAAGCTCCTGAGTCTACCATGATGCCTCAAATGTAGCTTTGGAAGGAAGTATTAATTTTTTGTTTTTGTAAAGTGTTTTACAGCGCTCGCAACTGCATAAGGTCATATGAGTGTGCGGGACACACCTAATATTTTCAGTTGGTACGAAATTTTGAGTTTTTGCCCGGGTGGTGGCCGAAGCCTACTCTTATCGATTTTAGACCAACAAGGGATCTTTAACGTGCGCAACTTGCACACGCGCCCTCCAAGATTTTTCGCCCTTGTTTGAAAAGGCTAGGTGTAGATCTTTCCTACCAGAAGGTCAGGGGTGTGGCAGAAAGACAACAGTAAGGAGGAGCCAAGGAGTAGCAGTAGAAAGGCTGCAGAAAGAGTCGGGAGCCCAGAGGAGGGGGCAAAGGAGGTGAGGGGGTGGGGGCAGAAAGTGGAAATGAAAGCAGACAACAGAACATTGCTAGAGAGCAGGAAAGGAGGTGAAAGGAGACAATTTTAGAGAAGAAAATTTTTCGGACGCTACCCGGAATCGAACCCGGGACCTTTGAATGAGAGGCCAACACCTTAACCTCTAGGCCACGAGAGCCCCCCGAAGTATTAATGGCCCCAGCTGAGTTGGTATATTTTGAAAGGCTGGTTCTGTAACAATTATTTTTGCTCTGGTGACAATGATCGTGTGCAAATGATTTTTGAAGAAAGTGCAAAATCTGATCAGTCTTTGACCTCTGTAGAGAGATTAGGCCACGATCTGCACCTTGACTGATTGTGTGTATCATGTGTCTCAACATATGGTGAACGTGTCATGTGGCGTCGGTGGCCTAGTGGTTAGGCTCTCGGACTCGCAACCGTAAGGTCGTGGGTTCGAATCCCGTCAAGGGCCCGACGTTGTGTCCTTGGGAAAGGCACTTTACACGAATTTTCCTCACTTCACCCAGGTGGGAATGGGTACCCGGCTATAGACAGCGAAAGATCTTGTCAGTTTGTTAGTGTTTGAGCGCTTAATTGGCTGCTTGCACTGTATGCTTCCCGGGAAGCTGAGAATGTTTCGGAGTGTTCTATGGTCTGCTGGGGTAATAATATAGTGTAAAGCGCATAGTGCCTGCTGCTGAGCGGGGATATGCGCTATACAAATGCTATCTATTATTATTATTTTATGTTTTGACACATTATATGACCTTAATTTTCGGTTTCTCTTCAGGGTGATATCTTGGACCTGGAGCGTAAAGATGGCAAGACAGACGTACTGGTCAACGAAGGCGTTAACACGGTGGCCTACACACTGGATGAGGGACTCATTGAGTTTGGCACAGCTATAGATGATGGAGACTACTTCAGGTCAGGCAACTGTGTAATGCGTGTGTTGTCTATGTATTAAGTGTGTTGTTTTGCTACCAGCCATGAACAGGAGACCCATTGAGTTTGGCACCTCTGTAGATGGTAGAGATTATTTCAGGCCAGGTACTTAGTGAGATTGTTAAAATCTACGCCCTTGATTGTGTCTGTTTGAAGTGATGTGTGCTATGGTATGATTGTTAGGCTCTAAGTTTACTCTAAGAAATTCATTTTTATGGAGTATAATATCTATCTTGCTGCATCCATGTCATGTCTTACTCAGTCCTAGCTGGCCTTATCTGGCATGGTTGAAGCAATTCACCTCATAGATAATGTAAATTGTATTGCTAGGACTGTAAAACATTTAATATTATTTTTAAGGTATGAAAGGCTACTGTTAAGGAAGTTTTGATCTAACAGATTAGAAGTTTCCATTATTTTGAGATATCTGATATGTGAGAGCAAACAATAGTCGAAACTGAACAGGAATGTCAGCATTTGCTGAGTACCTGAGCCTAGTAGAAGCAACAAAATCTCGCACTGATTGATGTTTAGGAAAAACTTTTTGTAGATGAGACAGATTGCTGCTCTGTAGCCCATGTTTACCCTATGATGCTATATGTGGATCTGTGTTTGTGCATGGTGTGTTTGTATGTATCCCATGCACTGAGTTCTTCTCTACTTCTTCCCCCC